GGCAATTCTGGAATTTCAATTAGATTTACAACACACCATTTTCTTCACAAATAGTATTGTTTCAAATGCGTAATACTCAATTCGTGTTTGAATAAAGAGTTAGAAAAAAGTATAAACACAGCAATAGTTTTGAATCATACAAAAAGATTTGGTCAAAGAAGATGGTGCAAATAAAGTGGAATTTAAAATGATCGTTCCTTGTATAACTGGTCAACAGTTATTGAGTAATTTCTAATACATCTTCTGAAATTTTGCTAAATAGTCTTATTAAAGAGGTGGTTCAAGCATTTTAAATTTTGAAACAAAAGGTGTCAAGAATTCATCTTCTTTATGCTCTCTTTTGCGGATTACATATTTGGGACGAGAAGCTGCTGTTCTGTAAAAGTAAGTGAAAGTGGAATACTAAGTGTAGATAAATTTAAACTTTAAAAATAGAGTCAGACGTAAATGATTCCTATGTAGGCGTAAAAAACTTTTTTTAGTGGTTTTAATCATTTGTATTTACTACAGCAAATAAAAATATTACAAAAGCTAAGTTATATAATATAATTAACAACCACGTCTTTCATACTTTGTCTTTAGTTAAAGTAACAGAAATGATTCAGCAAACGATGACTGTTTATCACTTTCTCATTTTTAAACGTTTGCTACTTTTGTTTGCTACACGTTTGCTACTTTTTGACAATCTCAGCAGCCTAAAACTAAAAATTGTTTATAAAGAAATTTGTCATAAGGATTTGCACCTAATGCGTTCATTATTGTTCAACAAACCAAGTTTCTTTCTTATCAGCGTCTTGCTAAGCATTGCTCAATTTCTTGTCTTGAACTCGTATTGGAATACTATTGATTAAAAGTTCAAAGCAACTTGCAATTGCATTACTGAAACACAATAAACAGTCGCAACTATAATGGTAAAAGACAAAATGACACGTATAAGCGAACTGAAAAATGTGAGCAAGAAGATGCTAAGTGATCGTGGAGTAAAACCGTTTCAAAATTGGTAAAATAAACAAGAAAAAACTGATTATTAATAACTATAAACAAGCTGTTCAATCCAATGTCAACGAATACACTTCGCAGATCAAAAAAATAAACCTTCTTTGAAATATACTTTATACTGCTCTGTACAGTTATATTTTCCCATCTTCTACGCCTGCTTTTTGCAGCCGAAATCTCCATAATCTTCTCAAATAGATTTCCACTTTTTAGACACAATTTTGAAGACATACAGAGAGTTTTACAAGCATCAAACTGCTTTTGACAACTTAAAATTTGAAATCTATTTCCTTTCAAGCAATTAGCGTTTCTTGGACAAATAAGGTTACAACCTCCTATAAGATGCTTATAGCAAAAGATGGCACATGTAGCTGTCTATTGTTTTCTTAAAGTTTGGTAATTTTTTACTTTGTATATTCTTCAGCTTTCGACAAAACCTCGCCACAGTTATCGATTCACACAACGCAACTATTTTTGGTGCAGTAAGCAACCATTTTGTTTCAATTTATTCTTTTACTTGATAAAGCTCAACTTAAAATTTTCTCACATTCTTTACACAGTAATTGCTTTTTCTAATAATTTTACTGTTATACAGGAAAAAGTGGAACAGCTCAGGTTTTACTGAGTATTCGTAAGTTGTTACCATTTTATA